TGAATTTTGTGTAATAGGCTTCACTGTGCTATCCTTCGTCATTCTTTGTAGAAGCGTACGCGGTATCCGGTACACACTTGTTGAAAATATTGTGCAAGTTTTTTATGCAGTACTTGGCTGACGACGATGAAGAAATATGCGTGAATTGGGTATGCGCCACAGTTAATAGGTGATCAAGAACGAGTTTTCTACTGGGTTGGAGCATTGGACAACTCAGTCGCTACGCAATTCGCACTGTGTGACGCCTGGCTGTTCCTCAGCATGATGTTCTAAAACGCTTTATTACTCATATTAACGTGATTCCTTTCCCGACATGCTGCCTGCCTAAGGCCAGTATAGAAACGAGTTTCAAGCCCTGGCGAGGCTCAGTGGTAGAATACTGGGCTCGTACGCAGCGGACCCGGGTTCGAATACTATTGTGCCCTTGGCGTGTTTGAGTTCATAACACTAGCGTGGCTCAGTGGTTCAATACTGGGCAGGCACGCAGCAGACCCGGGTTGGAACCCCATTGTGTCATTGCTGTTTTTTTTATTTACCAAGGTTTTTTTTATTTTTTTCGTTCGATACTGGTTACGGGCGGCAGCGGCGGACAACTACGGAGCCGCGCGTGACCCGTGTTTTGATGTCATAACAGCTTTCGCTGTGAAAAAAAAAAAAAGCGTACTCAGGGATATCAATTTGCATTATATGTTCACACAGTTGCTTCACAGCAGAATTGCCCCGCCGCGGTGGTCTAGTGGCTAAGGTACTCGGCTGCTGACCCGCAGGTCGTGGGATCGAATTCTGGCTGCAGCAGCTGCATTTCTGATGGAGGCGAAAATGTTGTAGGCCCGTGCGCTCAGATTTGGGTGCACGTTAAAGAATCGCAGGCGGTCTAAATTGCCGGAGCCCTCCACTACGGCGTCTCTCATAATCATATGGTGATTTAGGGACGTTAAACCCCACATATCAATCAATCAATCAATCAATCAATCAATCAATCAATCAATCAATCACAGCAGAATTGACTGCAGCGAAAATACACGTTTCACTCACGCACAACCATACGCCCTTGGCGAATAACAGTGCAGCGTGGTGTGTGCAAACTCTGTTTACTATAGGGGGGGGGGGGGGGGGGGGTATTCGCCTTGTCACGTACTCGTTTCGGGAGCTTCTGGATATCCAAAGAAAATGATGCTTACAAAACTTTCAATTCTTCAGCTGATAATATCTTCTGCTCCATCATCTGGCCAATAAAATTCTGAGAAGCCTTAATATATTTTAAAAGGTCTCATCAATTGGTAGTGCTACGACGCTTCACCCGTCTTTTTCAGTTGTTAATTTACGTCGTTCGCGACTATTTCAGTTTTTGTTTTGTTTTTTCGCCTGTACCACTCTTTTGTGGGTGAACTTTAGGGGTGGCGAGATTTTGACAGCTCCATCAATGAGAGACCCTTCAGGTGAAAGTGTATTTCCCTGACTTTTCAGGGGAGCGCATCTCCTTTTTGTCCTACATAAAGAGAGACATATCGCAACATCAGAAATTTTGGCATTGGGAGCGTAGTGCTCATGCAAATGTAAGAAACTCAATATCCCAGAAACACAGCAAGAGCCGGTGCTACATTAACTACCTTTCAAAAACGAAGCGCTCACTTGTATTAGGCATACTCTTGTGTACTGACTTTTGTAAGTTCCATTGGAACGATGCAAACATGGTAGTAATGTTACAAGTCCGTCATATCGTTATCTACACTGTCTCATCGAAGCTCCCTACTTTACCATGTGTACTGAATATAAGTCGTCATTCTTTTTAGGCGCTTAACCTTTCCGCCTCAAAGCGCACGCTCATGTGCCGCGCAATATGGCGTCTTATGAGTCCAGAAACGTACAAAAAATTATTCAAGGTGTTTCTGTGCATCCGAAAGCAAGAAATGAAATCTATGTACTCGCGAATGCAGTCGAAAATATCTGAGGAAAAGCGAGCGAGCGAATACACACCGAAAGTTGGGCCCGGTGTCCGCTTCACAAGATTCGCGCAGCGAAATGCTACCCAAAAGCATGACCTACTACACTCCTGACCTGTTCAGATAGCGGGGTTCCTATGGGAGCGCGTGTCCCCGCTCTCGTTCAATCGCTCGCCGTAGGTGGCGCTACCTATAACCTGTTCGTCTGCTACTGTGCGGCCGGCAGGAGGGCGACGGACTGATACCATGCGTCTGCTTCTGTGACAAACTGCCTATACGTGTGATTGTTTTTTGCTGAAAAGGCTAACGTGTGCTATGTGTTACATTTTAGTAGTTAGGCTATACTGGTTGATTGACTTCTAAAGCTGTATATTTGCGTAGAAATGTCTTGCTGCATGGTTGTTTTTGCCATTCCAGCCTAAAAAAACTTCAATTTAGTATTCATAAAGCTTTTGACTAATAATGTACTCATTGGTAATAGAATATCAAACTGATTTTAGGTTGTTTAGGACGCGTCAGGTGAAACGCAGTGCCCTGTTGAGCACTTACCTTGGACACTCGCCCTGGACAGGTGTTACACTTGTAGTCAATTGATAGAAGAGAATAATGCACATACGCCCACGGACGCATATCAAGGAGAGACACAGGAATTGAAGCTTTAACTCTTACTGTGACCTACACAACAAAAATTGTGCGTCAAATTTCGCTACGGGAGTTTGTCTGCTGGAACGGGGAGCGCTGGCCGATGCGCGTTTCTATGATTTTATATGTCCGTGCGATGAGACGATATGGTAAAGGCAGTGATGTGCCTATCGAGGGCAACACATTGCGACCCCAATAAAGTTTTTATCGTCATCATTATCATCATCTTGTCGAGCATAGTTAATAATAATAATAATAATAATAAAGTTTACTAAAGCACCCTGGTGCTTCTTGCTAGCTTGCAACTCGTTCTGAATTGAAACGACTCTCAAAAACACAAGACTCACCTTTTCTTCCAATTGCCTCGATCCATTCTTCCCGTATGTCTGTGGCAGGAAACTCGTGAAAACTTACTTTACTTTGTTTGCCTTGTTCCGATTTGCAATATGGCACGCAGCAATACACCATACTTACATTTGAGGTGTCAGCTCATCTAAAAAAAAAAACTGCACGCGGCCACTATTAGAGCTGACTACTGCAGCTATCTGCCGTCTGCAAGTTTCTGCACACGACCTACTGTGTTTCTGCGTATCTTCTGCAATTTGTGTATGCGTATCGTCTGGAACCATCGTGATTCAGTGTGAACAATGAATGCCTAACAATAGTTTTTTTATCTCGTTGGACTACGTTTTCATTCAAGAAATATTTTCATAATAAATTTTCCTTCATTTGTAGAAAAGTTCCCGTCTGCTTGCCACTGTGACCCTTTGTGTGCTTTTTTTACGGTTCTATTTCTGCTTCAAACGTCCACACGAATGCAGCCAACTCTGACGAGGAATCATATCGCTTTATTTGCCATATTTTACACATTCATACACAATTCATGCACAATAAGAACGATTTGCACTGCCACAGCGATGGCTGAAGCAGACGACAGCGAACAGGTGCTGCCTAGCGCCACGCCGCTCGTAGGTGACGGCCCTAGCGGCAGAAGGTATGAACTAGAACGTGGGCGCTGGAAGAGGTGCTCTCTGGGCAGGTCAGGAGTGTAGTAGGTCATGCCCAAAAGCCCACCATCGTCGTCTCTAAAAGTGATCACAGACGTGTTCAGAACAGCCTTGTCCAATTAGAGGCACCACACGCAACATTACTAGCACAAAAACGCTAAAGCCACGTAGGCTACAATGCGCCCAACCGCTGTCTGCCCTGAGCAATATGGCACGCGCCGGCGTTAGCTACAGAACCCCTCTGCCACTTCACAAGATTTAGTATAACCTCCTTGCGCAATTGGTATCAAAATATATATGAGTTAATACAGCTGTACTCTTTAGATCGAGTGGTGGCTAACGCCACCTAGCCGTAATACTTAGTGCACTAAACTGGATTTATTTTTTTTGTCCTATTAAATAGTGAATTTAAACACTGGCATTTGCCGTGAAGGATTCAATTTCCACTCTTGCTTTGATTGTAGCCACCAATCAGATAACCTACTTCTAGTTATTTCTACCCGCTTAAAGCCTATTTTGCCCTCCCTGTCCCTAAACCCCTGTGCTTTGAAAAACTCTGTGCATTCCTCCTTTACAGCCCTTTACAGAGGCAGTTTTCTCCTCTCCACACGCACTGCATACTGTGTCTACCCCTTCATATCGCTGCAGACTCCAGCATTCTGTTCAGTTATTTTTTATTTTTTCAATGAGGATGGTGGTGGTGCCTGCATGTGGCCAACGTCATGTTCTGCATCTTTACATATATCATATTGTAGCACGATATGTGATGGATGTAGTGCAACACAAACTAAGTGGTGTAAAGGACAGGACACATGTCTATGTAATACACTAACGAAACTGAAAAACTTCTAGGATCCTGGAAGTTTTTCAGTTTCGTTAGTGTACTACATAGAGTTAATATACAGACAGGGTATAATAACAGTCAGTATATACAGCGCCGTATATTAACTGTATGACATAGAGGATGGTTTACTACTCTAATCGCGTCATGGAGTCATACCAATTAACTCGCCGTTAGAGTCACTCGCCGTAATGTCTCGGTCACTAGTGAACGAACTAGCAAGCACAAATTGATGATTCTTATACAGTTTCGTCTTCTATTTCTATTTGGCCCTCGATTGTGTCAAAATCTAGCAGCTAGAATAATAGCATTATTGGATCGTCGGTGACATCACTACCGCTCTCTAACGAAGGGGATTATTTTTTTCTCCTAGGTTTTCTGACAGAATAAAACTCACCATTTGCCTATACATCTAACGCTTTTTTTTTACTGTGATTAGTGCTACGTTACGAAGAAATAGTTTCCCGATAGCGTATGCTGTAACGCTAACAAGAAGTGCGCCGTGAGAAAGTAGGCACATGAAACCCAACTTGCAGACGACGTGCAGCAGACGTCGTGCGTTTGTTGCGCCGCGCATGCGCGGAATTTGTCCACAGCGGTCGTGTTTGGCAGCACGGTGCGCGTTGTGCGAAGCTGTGCCGTGGAGTTTGTATTGTCGATATTGTAGCATTCCTTGTTTATTATTTGCAATAGTTTCGTTACCATAATCGACGGTTAGTTAAGCTTAGCGTCGTGACCTTGTCACATGGGCCAAATTCGCCAAAGTACGCGGGCACGTTTTGAGCCGAGGCCGTCTTATGACTAGCATCGATCAGGAGAACATTTCAGTTTGTAATTTTGCCGACGCTTAATCTTATGTTTTAATCAAGCGTGCCGGAATGGCATCGGGCCAGGTAAGTGTTCCATTGGATGTTGCTTATTCGTGCTGTAACATTAGTTGTATGTTTAAATGCGAATGTTAGGCTTACGACTTGGTCTGGCCGTCACTTATCTTGTGGTTCAGCTGTTCAGATTCAGCATCCGAGACGCCCATTCATGATTTACATGGGAAAATTGAACCTAGAAACCGGTTTTCATGGCGTGGCTTTGCGCGCCTTAAGAATGTCTTGTGAACCTATAATTTGTGAAGACTTCTTGCTTAGGTACGTTGCATACGGCTTTTGCCAAAGTCGTGTTTTTCAGAGCTTTCCAGCTATGAAGATTAGTGGGAGATCTAACATCAGAAGCATATATTTGGCCTGCCACTTTCAAGAGAGTGGATAAACTGGACTTCTCTCGGAGCGACACTTAAGGAAATTCTTGCCAGGGAAACTTAAGCACCGAATTTCGATGAACTTGGATATTTTGGCACTGTGGACGGTGTAATTGCCAGAACATTGAGGGCAGTGTTTGAGCTTTCTTAGGAGCGATGCGCAACAGTAACTGTAGTCGCCATTTAGATGGTATAAAACGAGAGCAAAGGTATTGTACCATGGGTGTGATGTATTCTGCCTACGAGAGCGTGATACTATGCGGCTTACCTATATACCAAGTAGTTTGTATTAGGTATCAAAAAAAAAAGTATGGGACTTGTGATACACGGTGAAACAGCAATCTCCCGTTAGGAGAAAAAGGCAGAAGACAATCGTTTGCTGAGAATGAACATTACACAATCAGACCCAATCATGGGGAAGGTATTGATGATATGCTTTTTTTTTTTTTTTAAATTGTGCACTAACTGTAGCTTTCTTTCACTTCACTAGTGGGCAGTGCCTCGTTTCGCATTACTGTGGGGCGAAAGGAGAGGCACATACTTTGTCCTACAAATTGTAAACTACAAAGCAGCTAGCTAGATGATCTATCCTGTACATATAGCTACTATGCTACGACCTTGTTTTAATTTTTGAATCTCTCTCTCTCGCAACAGCAGGTGTCTTCACTTTTGCAGAACCAAGCAGGCCATGAGGGAAGCCGCATTCCAAACAAGGTGTTCATTCAGAGGGACTACTCTGAGGGAACATCGGTCAAGTTCCAGACCAAGTTTCCACAAGAGCTGGAAGGCCTGGTACCTGTCCAGTAGTTATTGCATTTGTATTAAATTTATCTGTGTCTCATCGGGGCGTTTGTGCAATGTTTGGTCCCCTGTTCTTTTCGTTTCCAGATAGAAAGGCACATGTTCGATCAGATGGTCACCACAATCAACTCTATATACTCTGAAGCTGAAAGAATGAGTAGCAAGACATTTTGTGAAGGCTTCATGGCATGCCTCACTGCATACTTACTATACATGTGTACTGAAACCCATTACGAGAAGGTATGACAGTTCAAATCTGCACTTTTCACTTCATGCTGAATTTTATTTCGTGCTGTTTTGTTGCAGTTTTTGAAGCAAGCCACTGCTTACATTCACGAACAGAATGAGACTGTTTATGGCCCACGTGGCCTCCACATCACAGATCCCATTGAAAGGGGCCTGCGAGTTGTATCCTTTTTGTCGCATTACTCTGCATTGATTGCTATGCTGTTGTGAGCAGTGATTTCTGTAGATAAGTTCAATATGAGCAACAGTAGGCACAAGTGGGAACTTGAAGCTACTTTTATAAGAGATATACATTGAGTATCCTCCCTTTTTATGCAAAGTAGGGGTGTGCTATTGTCAAATTTTTGACTTCAAAGCGAATTCAAATAATGAAAACCAAGTGCAAGCCAAATAAAATATTTTTATTATATATTCAACTACAAATAAAACTACTGAATATTGTTAAATTTTTTTTCACCAACCAGATATGAAAAAGTAAGTTTGTTGTACAGAAAATAACATGCAGAAAATGTATGCATTTGTACAACACTATTGCATGACAATACCACGTACACTGTTATTTAATATTTTCACAAAGTATAGATAGCTTATGTTTGGGAATCTGTAATACCATTAGGCATGTCACCATTTCTCCAATGAAAACAGCTGGTTACTAAACACACTTGTGCTGATGCATCAATCTTGTCATCATGGTTTAACCATCTCAACATGCTTTTTTTAGGGGGAGCAATGGCAGCTTATTAGCATAATGTTCATTGCAGGTGCCTCTTCTCATAATAACTCAGAATAATTCTCGGTTTTCCCATTTTCAGGCATGTCTTAATTTTGCAATAGCTCCCCACTTGTCTTGGAGGGTTTGTTCAGTTTAATTTCAGTACCCTATAGCAACAGCTTGCTCAACTGCATACACAATGTCATGCTCTGGCCACTCCACTTGAATACTAGCACATTGTTTGCAAAAGTGCAGCAGGTAGGTGGTGGGGGAATCAGGCTACTGAAACAAATTTGGCTATTTGCACATCCGATTTGCTGAAATTTAGTACAGGTATCCAATTCCTTGTAAAAAGTGCACTTCTCTCTGTCCGGCTGAATCCATGTGATATTTCTTGCCTCTTGCTTTTCCTAAATGAATCTGGGCATATATACATTCTTTTCACCTCCAAACAGAATATTTTAATTGTTTCGTTTGACTATTTTCATTTTCAGTGGTTTTGATACTTAAGCTGCAACTTTCTTGGCTACACAATATTGTTTATCATCACCAGATTGGAGCGTATTTGAAACATAAAGGCCAAACCCCATATGCACGAAAATGTACGCAACAGGGACGAGACGTAGATCGCCTTTGTGTAAGTTGTCGCTTGCATGGTCAAACCCCATTCATGCGACTGCTTAGGCGAGTGATCTCCAATGAGGGCAATTACTCATACCAAAAGTGGCATGTTGTCAGCAGGATGCAATTCAAAATAGTGTTTTGTTTCATAATGATAGATCCAATGTTTATCATGGTCTTGCAGTATTTGTTTCGATCCCATCACTGCTTCTACATGATGCCAAGCTGCGTCACAGACAGCCCAGGATTTGTAGGTACCGTCCCTGAGATCTCAAACGTTGGCGCTCAACGACGTCAGCATTGCATTCATCCCCATTGGCCATGTTAGTGAAGGTTATTGCTGGTGCGCGTCAATAAGGAAATGGCAACAACCAGTAGTACATCTTGTTTCAGTGTTTTGTATTGGCTGCTTTAGCACAGCATTTCCGGACGACTCGGGAGAATTTCCAAGTCTGATAAAGTGAGCTATCGCGCAATATCGACCACGCAAGGTGTCGTGCTAATGCTTGTCACTGTCGCGTGCATTATCGCACATATGGGGTTTGGCTTTAACACTGGCATGTGCGAAAACACTTACCCAACTTGTGATGTTTAATGTGACCACTAAAAGCCCTGTTGTAATCTTTTTTTTTTCTGGTAGCAAGGGTGTATTGGCGTTGGACATTTCTTCAAGTGTGACTTAATTGGTTTTTGTTATTTCTTATTCAGTGTAAGAAAGAGATATTCAAAATGGTGTAAAAAGTGAGGGACCCTTAAGCTTCGCTTTTAAGAGTTGAACGCGATAGCTAAATCCGGCCCCTAGTGCGCCCTTCAACCACTAAGTGCATACTTATTAATATGTTTTGTTACATACACACACACAGTAGATTGTACCAGTGTGCCCGTGCAAACGTTACATACAGGTTTTTCATCTAAAGCAATAGTCGCATGGCCTCCAAGACACGCCACGCGCTCGCCATCTTGGAGGTCATAGTCTCACAATGCCTCACAGATAGCAGAACATTATCTCGCGTTTGCTGTTCGCTTGATCAACGCCTCTAGAAAGGCATGATATGTTTTCCGCTAGATGGACATAGTTGTCCATTTTTAGAGCTGTTTGAAAGTTCCTGTGTGTTTTGAGCGGTGATGGCTGCACTATCCCGGCCTTTTTCGGCGTAGTGTGAGGCCTCCCAAGTGCGCCTATAAATTGCCGAATGGACTCGTTTTTCGTCGTGACACCTGTCAAACAAAATGCGTTGAAGGGGCCCTGAAACATTTTTTTTTCAAGAAACCACGGAATAAATTCATTAGAATAGTTTATTGCATCCTTATTGCCTCACGAACTCAACACCGCAAAAATTTTAGGAATCTGTCCGATGGTTCAAAGGTTTACAGTATTGTCTCTTCTCTTGTCCCAACGAAAGCGCTGAAAGCTAAGGAGGGAGGGGTGGCAGGGGCAAGGAAACTCGTTACCTGCGCCTCGTGACCTTGAGAACTTCTTTTTTTTCGAATTGGCATTTTTTTGCTCAGTGGGGAATGCGTGCACACGTAGACAAGTAGCGGCCTCCTGCGGCGATCTCTGTAACTTGCTTTTTCGCTCACGGACGATTTTTCGCTCACAACCAATAGGGCTGACGCCGACGGCAGTATTTCTGCGACACAAGCTCTCTAACACTATCGCGTTAAAACACCCTCGTGACTGAATAAATAGCTAAGTTGTAGTTGGGGGAGGAGGGGGGTGATTCTACGATAGATTGACACAGGTCGAAAGTGAACTTCGTTTGTTTATTAACTGCATAATTTAGGAGGAAAAAAATATTGAACTTATTTTGTACAGAGGGACCAATTTCATCTCTTGTCATTCTCAAAAATTAAGGACGATATATAAATACGAATATGAGCTTGATGAAGACTTATCTTTTTTTTCTAATAAATGTACACGTAATGAAAAGTGAAGCAGCATTGTTTGAAGCTCGGGTCTGAAACAATCTGTTTCTGAAAAGTGTCTGAACTGGTGACATTTTCTAAAAGTTGCTTGGTTTGAGATTTTTTTTCTCCTAAGCTAAACTAGCTATTATTTCATAACTTGGTGACTTATCGCAACAAATTGTTTACAATACTGCCTGTCAATACTGTTGCTCTATCTCAAACGCAGAATTTTATAAATCGCCTCAAACTTCAATTTCGTCGACAGTGAAGCCTATTGAAAAACCGCATCTTCGATTTTTCTTAAACTCTCATGAAACGTTCCTCGCAGATGATTGAAAAAAAATATTAAAAACATAATGCATTATTTTATATGCAGCAACAATATTGCGGGTGGAAGTTCCAGCTTTTCGAGCATGCACTTAAGCTATAAACACACGAGAAATCGAGCTAATAACAGTGGGCTTGAGCTATGAATGCTGTGAAGTTAGTGATGAAGAAACTGTGTGCTCTATCTTGTCTAGCTCTTGCATTTTTTTTTAGCACAAGCTACACTTGTTGAAGTTAAGCAGTTTTGTGTGGTTTATTGAGGGCCGTGCTACGCATGCCCAAGAAGCAGTGGTGCGCCGAGAAGTCCTGGAAGCTCCAGAAGTTCCGTGTCATTAGTGGGCTGACTCGCATGAGCTTGCTCGCTAGTCCATCCATAGCTCACTCTACGTACGTCCTGGCTAAGCCGAGCTAAGCACTTTCATATATAACCACCATTTACTATGGCACATGCTTTAAAGGGAGATAAAAAGAGGCGCTTAGTTTTATATTTGAAGCAAGGTTTTACTTTTGCGTCTGCTTTAGATTCTCTATTGAAATGTCTTTACCTGGGGCACATTGTTTATGGTTAGCCTTGTAAAACCTATAGCCCCCAAATTCAGTTTCACAGATTTCTTTGACACCCAGGCCAGCTGAAAAAGCTTTGTGTGCTAAGCAAACTAAAAACTTGAGCAGGTTGCCATAAGTTGTTTTGTTTAAACTGTAGTGCAAGAAGACTTGGCACGTGATTAGGTAAGCCACAAATGTACTTGCATTTCTTCTCGCATGCTACATTTTTTTTTGCTACTATCCGAAATAGTTGACTTTGGCAGTTTCACTGTGATTAGTCATGTTTATTGTGTGCTGAAGTACTTGAGCTGGCATTGCATACACAGGGGAAAAAAATGACATTATGGTAAAGTCATACTACTAAATTTGTTAGTACACTTAGTTGGGCTAAGAAATACTGCAATACTTGAGTTGGGCTAGTTGGTTGTGTAAGACAATGTTGGGAATGAGCCTTGTTGTTATATGGCTAAGTTTCAGCACTGCCCCGACTACCTAACTTCACTTTTTTTTTCTACCCTCATGTGTATTTTGTGCTTATAAGGAATAGAGGTGGGCTGGCTTCATGCCTCCTCTCATGCGGTAAAGGAAATTGATGGCACCACCCTGGCATGCTAGGGTGTCCTGAAGTCCAACTGCAGCTAGGCTAAAATATATATCTCACGGAATTAAAAAAAAATTATGATTATATGTTCAAGTTGTATGTTCAGCACACTGTTTAGTAGTACATTTGACCCTTATGTGTAATGAAGTTGACATAACATTAAGCACTTGTGTTATATGCAGTTCTTGTTATATATTATAACATAATTATTTAACTATGTTAAATTGTATTGCTTATTTTAAAGATCCCTTCGTAAGGTTTCGGAATTGCCATCAAACAACTGTGTTGCATAGATCACTTGGTTGGCCCCGCCGCGGTGGTCTAGTGGCTAAGGTACTCTGCTACTGACCTGCAGGTCGCGGGTTCGAATCCCGGCTGCGGCGGCTGCATTTCCGATGGAGGCGGAAATGTTGTAGGCCCGTGTGCTCAGATTTGGGTGCACGTTAAAGAACCCCAGGTGGTCTAAATTTCCGGAGCTCTCCACTACGGCGTCTCTCATAATCATATAGTGGTTTTGGGACGTTAAACCCGACATATCAATGGTTACCTTGGTAGCGTCTGGCTGCTTTGATGGAAATTAAACATGTCCGTAAGTACAGAGAGCACACAAGCATGCTCCCAATTCGCGGCAAAGGAACCCCCCCCCCCCCCCCCCCTTTTTTTTTTGGCTTTGTGCAACCATGATTTTCTGAGCATTGGCTCAGAAGAACACCAGGTGGTCGAAATTTCCGGAGCCCTCCACTACGGCATCTCTCATAATCATATGGTGGTTTTGGGACGTTAAATCCCACATATCAATCATTAGATCGCTTGGTTGGATTCTATCCTAAGATTGTTGAATTGCCATGTGGTGGGGAAATTGTCAAAATATTTTAAAAAATCGCGCCCTTACTTATGAGCGAGCGTAACAGCTACCAACTAGTATGTGTGCCCATGCAGTGTGCACTTATTGGAATGTCTATGACCAGTCTTGATATGCATGTGCACAGCTGCAGTTGGGCTAATACTTAACAATTACAGCGTGTTACCTCAGTTCATCCAATGCTGTTACTGCAAATGCATCGAAAAGCAGTTTAGAAAATGAATGGTGGGACTTGTCACATGAACGTAATTGGCTCCTCTCCTCTGGAAATTGAGAGAAGACAAGGGAGCTATCCATGTGTATGGTAGATGAAGCAATGGCGAGAGAGTCAACTCACTGAAGCTGCTTCCTGAAAGCTTGCCAACTATACTCGGGGACAACTTTATGTGGCAATGAAGGGAAGGCTACAGAGCCAAATTGGGCATGTGCCACCACAATAGAATATAGTCCCTCGAATGCATCTGTTTTTTTTTTTTTTGCGTGAAAGTAATGAAAAAGAACAACATTATTTTCTACTAGATGCTGTTTATAAAAAGCCACTGCACGCCCCGAGGAGATACCATTATTTGTGGTTGCTTTTTGAGGAGTAGCTTCGCGTCTCACTTTTTATGTGCACTTTTTAGAGTATAGACAAATTGCTGCTAAAATAATAAATAGTGAGCACATTTGAACACTTGAATCAAGTGTTCCCCATGCAACACTGTACAACTAAAACTGACGATGGGGTGTGGTAAGACGGCTCTTTAGTGAAACGAAATGATTCAATTTTACTTTGTAAGATCCATTATACTAATGTTGCGATCTTGTGAAAGCTAGTTGTGTTTGCATAAAAGCCTTTTGTCAGTGTTTGGTTGCTCTCATTACTGTGTGCGACTAGTATTTGTGAAAAAGAGCTTGGGGGGGGGGGGGGGGGGGTAGGAACTGCTTTTTATCTGCTAACCTGCCTTTCATGTACTTCCTACTGGTGGAAACAAAATGCTTCGTGCAATGAAGAACCATAGATTAAACAGTATGGTATAGTGTAGTGGGGACGTTATTCCGAAGTTGATGCCGCTAGGGAGATCGAGAATTAGGTCCATGTGAATGTATTGAACCCGCACTGTTGTACATTTCTAGAAGAGTGATCAAGTTCAATAAAAAGTATTTAGTTGGTGCAGTTATCTTGCATGTAGCTATCCTATATTTGAAAATATTTCCTTTCAAATAGGGAACACACACACATATATGTGGGCTAGCTTCATGTATTGCAGGCTGGGCTCAGCGTTCCCCATTTTAAATTTTGATGGAAGGCCCTAGCCTCCCTGGCTTTGCAAGACCTCAGTGAGAGTAAACTTTCATTGTTCAATTGTTGATCTTTGTTTTTCCCCTTTGTTGTAGCATGTTTGAATTACAAAACCTTGACTTGAGACTCCAGATAGAAATCACCATCTTGAGCGAACAAAGTGCACGATCATGATCACAAGCATAACCTGGCCATTATTGAAGCCTGGTCTGGCGGCCCGTGCTGCAATGGTTTACCGTGAATTCTCACTGTGGTCTGTCACAGCCAAGCACCCAGTTCCCTCGTTTACGTGTGTGCCCAGTTCGACGTGTGCCCTGCAATGGATCAGGCCAAGGGCCGAAGTCTCTGTGTGGTCAAGACTGTGGTGTTGACCACTGCACAGGAGGCAGGCGTTGTTTCTCCTCTTAAGCTTGCTGGTTGTATAGTAAGTGGAGGAGTAACAATAGCAAGCGTTTTCATCACGTGTATAAAGTGTGCTTTCTCAACTGTTTTTATTAAAGCTTGCTAAAAAACAAAAACTGTGCATTGTTCTTTGACGGGTTGCAACGTGGCCACGCCCCATATTAAGGAACGCTGCGCGGCCTAAATAAGGTCACTTTATCTGCATAGTGCTCAAGTGAAACGCGATATGCCACGTATTAGAACTTCCGATGCCGGGTAACAGTGGGAACACAGGCAGACAGGATTTGCGATACAATTCGCGGACAGGGCATCAAGAGTCGAAGTCGTCGGGCGCGGTAGAGTCCATCTGGGGCACTGTTGGCGCTTCGCAAGTCTCGTTTAATCGCTGAAGAAACGATTGTAACAACCGCTTGTTCAACTGGTCGGTCAGCGTCGGCACACCGTTGGTTGGTTCAGGTTCAACGTTCGAAGTTTCATCCCTTCGTCCTTCCGACATAGCGGCAACTAGCAAACCTATTCAAAAAAAAAAAAAAAAAAAAAAAAAAAGGTAACTATTTGCAAGTCACTTGTGAGACAATGGGCAAGTGAATTCTCTTAACGGCTATACACTTTCAAATGCCAGGGTGGTTGTATGTGGAAAATACGTACGGAGAGTCGGGTGACGCACAGAACTGTTCCGTACAAAAATGTCGGGACGAAGCCGCACTCCAGAACCGCCACTAGTCCCGCTGGCACACTACGGCAGAGTACCTAAATATCTGAACTTTACCGATCGATGTTCTCGGCTGAAATCACGCAGACATTTATGTAGTACACACGAAGTTCGTCATGCGTTAAGGCCCAAGGCTGCGACACCTACGCACGCCCCACGTATCGCTACCACAAAACACCTATCACTTTACAGTAGCCAGGTAGCCAGTAGTGTGCCTAGTGTGGTAGGTGTTCTCTAATGTGCCGCTCTGGCCGTTCTCTGTGGATCGTGGTAGGGGCGCTGTAGGCGTTTCAAGTGTTATGTTTGTCGTGCCGCATCCGCTTGTTTAAGTTCTGTATGTTAAGTCAGTAACATTGACAGCTATTTTAATACCCTACACACATAATTAAAATACTTAAACGTTTCTTTTTGTAATATTACTAAACAGGCTTGCACTCTAAACTTTGAGCCTATCAGCGTAGAGTATGGACGCCACGTGACCCAAAACGGTCACCATTTTGTAAAGTGTGTGAAGTTCACTGGTAGATAAGTGATCCTTGATAGGTCAATGAAAAAAGAAGAGAACTGCGTGTCGCCGTAACAGTTTACCAATAGCATGGATTGACAACGAGTGAAACGGCTTGTGTGATTCTCTAGTCATGCGCTGATTCAAGAGTTCAGACAGCTCAGCGCGACCGACGCAGTAGATCAACTATTGTGACCCGATCCCCGCTGGAATGCTGCCCCGACCTTACCCTTCCCTGTGTCGTAAAGTTGATGTCGAGGGCCGATTTGTTCCGCTATCTCCCGTGATGACATCGCTAGTTGGAAACGTTGACGCATTCAGTGCATTTGACAACGGACAATGTTATTCGCCATAATCTGAACAGGTAGGAAGAATAATAGTGGCATTCTGTCGTTGACAACTTTTGTTTTCGCCTATCTCTACTATGCCTTTCCGTTGTCCCTGTGTGCGTGTTGCGAAGGAAGTGGTTTTGCCTGCTGCAATGTGCGTGCTTGTCATCCTGTCGCACGCATCAGGATGGCCGTCAGGTGACATGTTGCGCGCACCAAATGCTTCTATTCATTTTGCAAGTGGTGAAATGGGTGAATGTAGCGCTCCTTCGGTTTCCTTTATTTTGTATTGCCATGTTTCGGTGCTTTGCTAATAGAAGCGATACGAACGTGGTAATTGTCACATTTAGAAAAGATGTCAAGGTGTGTATTTAAGCAGGACCAAACAATGTCAACGGTTAATTTTTCAGCGAATTCTTCACTAGCCATTTTATTCTCGGACCCGAATTCAGTGCTACAGATGTTCCGTGTTTAGTTTCACCTGCTAGGAAACCTAGAGGACTGCTGTGTGTTGTCGCCGAAAAAGGTGAAAGCTGGTTTTCACACTTCTATCTCATTTTCTTTTTTCGACGTACGTTGCTCTCGCTTGCAACTTTGGAAAAAAAAATGTGTTGAACATTATAACAGCAAAAAAAAAAAAAAAAACCTTCACCAGGGCTGTTAACAATTTTTTTTTTATGATGATACTTTTTTCCGGAGCACTGTTCCAATGCAAGGGCACCCTTCAAGATATGGGACATGTCATTACTACACGTTCCATATACAATATGGGATGTGCTATTGCATTGGACCAATCATTGAATTTATGAGAAAACGGGTATCTGAAATAAAATGGGGTTTAAGGCAAGGTGCTATTGATGCTGTACTGAACAAGGATTAGACGACTTTCTTCACCCTTTCTTTTGTCAAGCAAGGAAGAATTTATTGATGCTTTGTCACCAGGACTTATGTTTGCAGATATAGCATTAATGGCCAACAACAAGGTAGGCTCGTAGGTATATCTGGACATCTGGGGTCAAGAGCGAGATAGGTTAAGTAATGAAAAATCTGCAGTCACGAGTTTTAATGATAGTAAAAGTGGGGAGCATAGGATTCAGAAGGTCACAGTGTAGGTAGTGGATAAGCAATAATGGGAATTCCTGGCTGCGGAGGCTGCATTTCCGATGGAGGCGGAAATGTTGTAGGCCCGTGTGCTCAGATTTGGGTGCACGTTAAAGAACCCCAGGTGGTCAAAATTTCCGGAGCTCTCCACTACGGCGTCTCTCATAATCATATGGTGGTTTTGGGACGTTAAACCCCACAAATCAAATCAATCAGCAATAATAGGGAGTTCTCGAATAGGGGCCCCAAAGAAACACCGTCAAGGCCACTGCGCATGTGCTTAACCCAAACTGGGTTTGGGTTCGGGATGCTATTTTTCGAATTTAGCGGGAGCCCCAAAGCCTGCCGCAAAAGTTTTGGTTCAGACAGATGTGGTGGCACCCACTGGAGTGACGACTCTCAGCCAAGACTAGAGTGGCATAGAATAGGTGGAGTGTCCAAAGTGCCACAGACCATATTTGAAAATTCATCGCTCTTGCTTGACCCAAAGCGTCCATATGGAGAGAGCTTTGGGGCCCCTATTTGAAGACTCCCTATTATTTTGGTGACTGTATAAACAGTGGGCCCGAATGCTGAAAAGGACAGCACACATAACACATAATGACTAAAGGTAACAGGAATGCAGCTAAGAGGAAGAATATATATCACAGTGGAATTGCAATAGGTACACAGGGGGGGGTGTTGGAAAGGGAGGATGGTTTTTGGTCTGTCTGGTAATGCCGCCTCGTGCGTGAGATCACAGGTTCAAGCAAGGTGCACACTTGCTTAGGGGGTACACTAAATTGGAGGGTACAAGGTGACATGAGATGGACGTCGTTCAAGGGCAGATAGCTAGTAGCTATGTAGAATTAGAGGAGCTATTGAGAGAAATAGGAGAGGAGTGGTGGCATGGTAATTTTTTCAGGTGCTTGGAGTAGAGGAATGTCAATAGAAAAATGGAGGAAGCGAACCAAAAAAATTTAAGGAAAGTATTTAAAAAACAGCAGGAGACAAAGCAGAAAAGGTGAAGAAGTCTGCAGGAAATAAGGGTGGTTATGGAATCAGCACTGGAAACCTACTGAACTTTCGCGCATGAAATTGCCAAAAAAAAATCTATGGTAATAGTAAGGATATTTCTATTTTGTTTAAATGCATGATGGGAGTGTTGTGAACTAAGGTGGACTTAGACGAGTAGGAATGGATAGACGCACCATCCAATGCTTGTAGGGAGGAGGAGATAGCTTTTTGCAAAGGGCTGTATGCCTCAATTCACAGCAGTGGGGGGGAATTTCGTCAACAGTTCGCTTTAGGAATAGTGTAAGTGAAATAGAAAATGGTTGGAAGCAACCAGGAGGAGGCTATCTGATTTGTGGCTAAAATTTACACGAGAGTGAACTTTAACCGTTCATTATGTGTGGTTAGTATGCCACTTCTACATACTAGTTATGGCTACGTAGCGTGAGCCACCACTTGCTTAAAAAGTACTGCCTTATTAATTCATCCACCATCTGTGTTCATTTAGCACACCACATCTCAGAACATAGTAGCTTGTGGCACAACTGAACATCTTGCGTGCTCTTGTTCATGTAGTTTGTGAACAACTGAACATCTTGAATGCTCTTGTTCATGTAGTTTGTGAAACAGCTATTTTTAGTTAAGTTGAAAAGCTGAATTTCATAAGCTCGTGAGCATGGGTGCATTCAGGGCTTTTGGAATTACATCGATGTGCTATAGAGACATGTTTGTATGCTGGAGCATTGTCACTCACCAGGAATGGACTTGCACAGGCAGTTTATTTCATTTTCATTGTAAAAATTATTGTATATTAGTGTAAAATGAACAAAAGTGTAGAAAAAGGTTTTAATTGTTGTTAATTTCGTGCATTTGAAATGCTCTGAAACATTGTAAGCTGCTCTACGAAACAAATCTGCACTCCAAGCTCAGATTTGTTTGGTGGTGTAATAAAGGCATGCACCAGTACAAAATAAGTAAGCTTCATAGACTAAATTCACAGTGCCAAAAACAAGGAGAGATGAAGTAAGAACACCATGAGCGCTGCTTGAACTTTTATTACATAAATGAGTTAGAAAAGTAAACCACATTAGATTGCACCCATGAGCACACACGTGCAGAAACAGCCCACAAAAACACGAGCAAAGTCACTCTGGTGCGACACCAAATTTCTGCACTAGATTAAATTCGCTATCCAGCAAACTCAGTGAAGATTGGCTGACATGTGCCTCGCCTTTTATTTTTATTAGAAAGGCTTCAACAATCTTCCTTGTTAGTTTATTATTGTGTCCGAAAATCACAGACAATGTTGGTTAGCCCAGGTTTACATCTGCAATCACAGCAGTGCAATGCAAGGTGGGGGAATAGGCCATGCCCTTAAAGGGGTTCTGACGCCATTTTTTGGAGGAGAGTTTACTCTGCCATACAAACATCCTGCGTATAGCAACGGCTCTGAGCAAGTGTGAAGCTCGAGAAATGCAGATTTTTCATGGGCGAAGCGCCTTATGGTCCAGGGCAGTCCGTCCCTCCGCCGTAGCCAGCTCAGCATATCCACAGACATACGGATGAATGCTTTGCCCAACTCATCATCATTCACTCCGTGGATATGCTGTAATTTTTTATTTTGGTATTAAGGTCATCTTTCTCATCTTACACCTTCTGACATCGGCTCTACCTTGATGTCGGGCTACAGTACTGATTCTAGTGACTTCACGAAGCAGTCTGGCTAGTTGTGATGACATCAGGTACCAAAACTTCTAAGATGGCCGCTCATGCGTCTCAAAAACTTCCAAAATGACCCCTTCTACCTCGCCAATGGAGCCGGAGGGAGCCACGATACGGCTGTGTCACTATATCTTGCCCTAGCACGGGACCAGAAGCTCATACAGTGTTGTGACGTCAGGGCACAGTAGGAACCTAAGCTAGATTTTTTAAAAACATGCTGTAATTACTTTTCTAGGGTGCACTCCCGGCTGGTAGGACATTTTCTAAGCTCTTAAGTGCTTGGCCTTTAATTTGACACAGAAAAACAATTGAAAATTTTTTGGTTCAGTACCTCTTATAAGCGAGCTGCGGTGCTCTCTGAGGCTTAAATTCAAGAACCGGCCTGACTGTTTAATATAACCACCCACATGAGAGAGGAATGTGGTACACCACCCCATTTACAGGCCACAAAGTGCATGCTATGCTTTGCTCCGCATGAGCACTCATGGTAGCCCCTATTTTTAGTCTGTCCTTGTGTTTAGTGCTGTGTGTCTATTCCGTGATGTCATAAAATTCACCCAACCATATGTTATCCTAAATAAAGTAAGCTGTTTGTGTGTGAATCATTTACGCTAAGGCATGCAAAATTTGTGTTCAAAAGCAAAAATAGTTGAACACACTGTGCTATTCTAAGTTCTTTGGTGCTTGTATGTGCTTGTACCTTCTCTCTCATTCTTCCACCCTATCCCCTAGTGGTGTAGGAAGGGGGTAAGGGGTTCAACACCCTCCCCTTTCCTATCTATAGTGCTTTTCAATGTCTGTGGCACTTTTCAAATTTTGATTTCATAGGTTGACAAGTATACATATATCCAAGGAAGTAGATAGTTAACTGTCTCTTTTGCAGGACCCAGAAGTTGTCAAGCCATGCACCAAACAAGGCGGAGGAAAAAGCGACCCAGCTATGGGGTTAGAACTGTGGAGTTGTCTAGGGGCACAAAAGGTTTTGGCTTCACAATCTCTGGACAGGCACCGTGCATCCTCAGCTGTATTGTCGCCGGGAGCCCAGCAGAGCGTGTGGGTTTGCGGCCAGGTGACTTCCTTGTAGCGGTGAATGGACACAATGTATCGCGGGCACCCCATGACGATGTGGTGCGGCGTATTGGGAGTTCATCGGGTCCTCTGAAGCTTCAGATTGCAGAGAATTATTACTCCGATTCTTCGGAGGAGGAAGCCACCACACCTGGCCGTACTCACCACACACGACCACGACATAGACACGTGCCTCGCTTGGCTGCACGGGATGCCCATGGACTTTTTCCTCCAAATGTAAGTGGCATGCTTGAAAGGCATTTGTGTAGTTTCATTCCACTGCAGCAATCTTTTTATAGTTTCTCATAGATGTCATGGTAGTGCAGTGGCTGTTTTATTATGCTGCTTAGTAGGAGATTGCGGGTGCAGCACCTGGCCACAGTTGCCAAATTTGGATGGAACTCGTACGCAAGAACATTTGTGAACCCTTGGGTACATTTTAAAGAATCCTTGGTAGTCAAGGTTAACCTGAAGCTTCTTTAATTGTAACCCATTGAGCAGTTTTGGGATGTTGAGACCATGAATAGTTTATAGACATTTTTATTTTCACTAAATATTTACTGTTATTTGAAGTGTAACATAATTTCTCTAAATTATTTTTGGAGGAGGCATGTTATGCAACTCCATATGGCATTAAAGCATCAAGATTAATACCAACTGCTTTTTCAGTTCGTATTAATCTTGTGCTTCAGTAGACTACTGCAGGCCAAGGCAAAATAGGAGTATGATTTTTTTGTTGCCAACTTACGCTAGCCACAGTGTAGAGTGAAGCATTCATTGTTAACATGGTTTTCGTGCTGGAAGCCAACTTCTTAAGTATTTGTTTAGACTCGTCAACATCTCTTTTTTTGTTTTTGTTTAGAGGGTAGTGTGAAGCTGGACAAAGTATGATAGAATCAAGTGTGGTGTTGCCTGAGTTGTCATATTCATAGAGACTAAAGCTGCAAACTTCGACATCGCTGTCCCTGCCTTGGGCGAAAATGCTTTAAATGTACTGGCAACATATTTGGGACACAAGAATTGTTAGTCACTGCATGGTATTAAGCCATCTTTAGGGGATCAGCGATCACTTAACCAGGCTAGATGGAAATTATGGTTTACTCTGTTGCTTATAATGGTCCATGCTTACACTACACACAGTTGCCGATTGCTGGTGATCCTCCAATCTGCAGCGGACATGTAGAGAGAGACTGTTTTAGCATGTTCAGTCGCAGCCACGTCTGTGTAGAGCGCTCGAGCAGCCAGTTCTTGCTCTGCGAGCCGAAACCTTGAGGCAGTTTCAGGCTCTGAAGTGGTGTATCAGGAGCATGCACGGCCTAGTTGTCAGGCTGACCACGTCAGAGCCTGATACTGCCCCAAGGTTTCGCCCCGCAGAGCAAAAACAGGCTGTTCGCGTGCTCCATACAGACGTAGCCGCAGCTGTACTCTTGTTGGACTGCTGGGAAACATGAGGCAACAAAGAGAGAGAGACGAAGAAAAAAAATTTTAATGACGCATATGAACAGCATATATTACTGCACTATCCATCCTTTTTTGGTCTTGAACCTCTGTTTAACATTTAATCAGTTTTAGATTTTATAAATGACATCCAAACACTTCATGTTATCGATTCAAAAAATGCATAGCACGACCTTTGGAGCGAGGCCACTGCTGCATTGTTAACTTTTGGTATAGCACTCTCCTCCATGCCCTTGAGATCGAGGGATCTGGTGAGACTACAGTCTTACTCTCAAACTGCAGTCACCACGGTGCTGTTGTTTTGTGTGTTGGGGCATTGCACCTGGGAACTGGAAGATGGAGACACTGGACAAATGAAGGCTCAGCTTGTTTTGGCAAAGCACCTTTTCAGAGTGGTCTGGCATTTTTTTCCGAGTCGGGAATCGATATTTTTTTAACTGCGAAGTTTTTTTTTTAGAGAAAAGCTTGTATACGTTTTTTTATTTTTAAAAATAATTCATCATGCTGAAAGTCAGCCGGGTGACCTTTTTTTTTTTTTTCGTTTAGCTGATGTACTGCAGTGGGGCAGTATAAAGTTAAAAAGAAAACTATAGAATCCACCAAATAGGTTCATTTTATATTATGTTGCGAGACGCTCACGACTAGGAGTTCCTGCATTTGTTTGACTCAAGACCCACATATGGTTCGGTTCAATCTCCAGACAACGGTGTAAGAATAAGTTAGGTGATGACGTTGCGCCCGGCGCCGTGTCCTGATTGTGTTTGCCGCCTGGCTTGTTTCCGTTTGATGCCACAGATGGCGCTCACAGAGGGGGGTCATAGAGTTAGTGTATATGTTACCTTTACCTAAAGGTAGCATATACAGTAGACATATATAGTATACCAGGCTTAGCAGGAATGTGGGCTTACCGGGATAGCGGGATCGAAGTGCGAATGCGCAGATACGTACGTTGCCCTTACCGCTTACTGTACGTATGCAATTTTTCAGATTTAACGTTACCGTGTTAGCGGGGTGTGCGTAAACATGGTGGCACTTTCGGACGCCCACTTATAAATGATTTTGGCGTGTTGTTGAAAGAGTCGCTTCGTTCACAGCAAATGACTGTTTAAAATGACTTCGCTTGCCTTCAGTTAGCTTTGATGACTGAGTATTACTGATAAGCTTGCGTGATTTTTGAGATAGCTTTCCATTTCAAACGTCTCTAGGCCTGACTAAAAGATTGATGTAAACATATTGGCAACCTAAATGTTTTTGAGTTTGGGGCACAGTTTCTTTTTATTTACTTTTACTATTACTAAAATAAACTTGTTATAATGCTTCACACGGGGACACAGGCAAACATTCTCATTTTCTTTTCTTTTAACTCGTTATAATGCTTCACACGGTGACACAGGCAAACATTCTCGTTTTTTTTTTTTACTTTTCACCGTTCTTTAACTTATCAACCCTCTGATAGATGGCACCACCATCCCAGCTGGGGCACCTAAACCACGTAAACGCTATCCCGCGAAAGAATAAGATATTGTCCGTAGTCAATGTTTGCTGAATGGTAACACCATTCCCTTGAACCCGGCTATCACGCTAACAGTAAACTATAACTGTTTAGTAACTGGTGGGTCAGGGCACTCTCTGGGGAGCGGCTCCGATCCGAGTGTAAAAAGTTATTTGCTGCGGAGCCTCTTTGCTTGTTTACTACACTTGATATGCACATGTACATGGATGTCAATAAATTAATACATGATGACTCGGCTGTAACGAAATTGATTTCTTAGTTTTATGTGCAGTATATTTACTAACAGTGTTTTTGGGATATAAATGCTCAGACGGCAGCAAACGTTGGCCTTGAGAGCGGTCGCATTTTGACGTGACAGCGCTAAAGGCCTCGTTTCTTTAAAATCATGGTGTTGGCGGCGTCGGCAACTTTATTTCAAAACAAAAAGCCGCATTCGTGAGAGAAAATTTGACGTGTTTGTAATAAGTGCAATAAGCCTAGCAGCCCCAGGGCTGAGCCACACTAGATATCAGGAAGGCGACAGTCTGTATGTGTGCGTGTGCATGTATGTGAGTGCATGGGGGCCTCTGTGTGTGTGTGTGTGTGTGTGTGTGTGTGTGTGTGTGTGTCTGTGTGTGTGTGTCTGTGTGTGTGTGTGTGTGTGTGCGCACGCGCGCATGAACGAATATTGCTGTCACGTTCTGGTTGCTCAGCAAAATTAGTGAAAGACTTTGAAAACTTTCCAACTTATGCATCATGAAACTTACACGTGTTCTATTAATAACCTAAACCGACACACTGCCATTGGCAGTCCTTGCTGTTAGCGTTACGCAGATGACTCTATTTCGGCCTCTGGCGGTGTAAGCAACAGGGTATGGTGGGAAGAACTTTATTGGGTCTCGAAGGTCGACCCTGGGCTAAATCATACCACACCCATGTCAAAACTGTCGGGCCAGTGCCATCAGCCATATTTTGCACTATTTTATTAATCCACGTGGACCTCAACTTGATACAGTGCTTATCAGACAGTGAAAGCGAGCACACTACCTAAAGCAGTATATATTACGCAGCTGGTTCCCTACGCCGCTAATGCGGGACGCCGACAATCATATTTCGCATTTGATGAGGCATCTAAGGCTATCTAAGGCCTTCACCACAATAAACAATGCTGTATCGTAAGTACCGTCATTGGTAGTGAGCCTGCAGTGTTGCAAGACGGTGACAATAAAGTGCTAGAGTATTATAATCATGTGAATATAATGAACTTAAAAAAAATGAATGAGGTGGTTTGCAGCCAGCACTCTTACGCCTTCGACAAAGCAATGCGGCCCGACTCCATGATAAGAAACTTCAGCACGGCGCCAAGCAAAAAGGGCCACATTGACCCTGTTGAGCGTAGCCATCTTTCTTTTTTTTTTTTGTTCGCCCAGTGTTGCCAGCACATGGAGTGTTTTGATTTATATGAGGGGTTTAGCATCCCAAAACTACCATATGATTATGAGAGACGCCGTAGTGAAGGGTTCCGGAGACTTCGCCCACCTGGGGTTTAACGTGCACCCAAATCTGAACACACGGGCCTACAGCATTTTCGAATCTTATCGAAAATGCGGCCACCGAAGCCAGGATTTAATCCTGTGACCTGCAGGCACAGAGTGTTTGGTGTAGTTGTGAATAGCAAGAGAAATAGTATTTGGGCCCTACCTGAAAGACAGTGAGTACAAGCTTGAATCAAGAGCACATTGTGCTGCCATAACTCACCGAAGAGCACAGCATTTGTTGATAGCTTTATAGCAGGCCAAAATTTACCAAGTATGGATGCTGAGGTAGAACACCATGCTCAGATTGGCTTGCAAAAGTCCAAGCCATGCAAGCCCAAGGCCTCCCTCCATCGATGATGCAAAGCTTGTATCACACTGTCCGATCTGGCTGCATAAAGCAGTTGCTTGAAGGATGTGAAAGTAGGATCATGGCCTTAAGAAGTGAATTCATGAAGACATCTGAAGTCGGTACAAGCGGCAACCTTCGTGTATTTGTATACGCACCGCTGACCGCCTATCCACACTTTCGCGTGAATGGTACTGCCACCTATAGCCTGGTATCGCCGTGAGTAGGCTTAATGCTTCTTCGTGACCTTACTTGTCAGGGCAGACACGTTTCTTTTCAGTGTCCCGATCTCTCATGTGGGGTACCTGTCGGGGTTCTCGAGGATCTTGACAAAAGTTGTCATCCTTGCTGCTGCCGACGTGTTCGCTCGTAGTCGTTGCTTTACATCGTTGTTGACGTGGCGGAGGCCTCTGCCTCCACCACACTTGCCCAGTGGAGGCAGGCGATACCCAGTGCTGCACACTGACGTGGCCACTTGGGCGCTGTCTTTGGTACCTTGATTCGAAGGGGGCTTGTACCAGGAATATCGGCCCTTGCTGTGCGCGGCTGCTGCATTCCGAGCAGTGTCCTTCGAAGTAGGTCGAGATCTCCGTCTACTTCTCGGGACGCCTGCATCACAGGTTGCCAAGGCACTGCCCTGATGCTCCCGTCGCCAGTGCGCTTGCTGGTGATGCGGTCTTTTCCTTGCAAGTCCACGTCGACAATGCCAGTGCATCGCTGCTCGGGCACTGACCGCAGCTCGTGTCACGGGCCTCGGGCCTTGTGTTACGGTGCGCGCGCTCGTGCCATTTCGAATCTTGTCCGTTCCTCATCATCTGCTTTTTTCCTATGGGCTCTTGCTCTTGACAGGAGCAATTAATTTAAATCTGTAACAATCAACACTGCTGCTAACTTCATGCAAATCCAGTTTTCAAGAAATGCCACCGAAAACATATTCTAGCTAGTTTGTGTTTTTCCTCATTCAAGACCATTCTGAGCAACTGTAGTGCTACTGCTCAGTTTGTTTCCTGGTGTCTCGCACCAAGGAATGGCATTTTCTTTTTCTCAACTAGTCCTAGAAATAGTTTCTTGCAAATTTTTTGTCTTGTCAAAGTTAGTAACTACTGGTTGATGCTTTGTGCAGACTAATCAAGCGGACAGTAACAAGGCACTGCTGGAGCTTATCCTGGAGCAAAAGGGGCTTCGCACATCTCTGGTCTTGCGCACAGTGGTGGGCTACTTGGGCACCATCGAACTTCCACGTGAGGTGGCTGGCTCACGGCTTCAGGCTATCCGCAGTTGCGTACGTCGCCTGCGGCTGGAGCAGAAAGTGCACACACTGGTTCAGTTGTCGGTGTTGCGGGATGGTGTGTTGTTGGCTGACTTACGGGGCGCAGCATTGGCACGTTTTCCAGCCGAGCGCATTGCATTCAGTGCTGCTTATGCTGATGATAGCCGATTTCTTGGCTTGGTCACCAAGGGAGCAGATGGTGCCCTCTCATGCCATGTACTCATGGTGGACTCACGGCTGAGGCTTCCCCCAGGTGTATTGCGGGCAGCACCTCTGCACACATCTGCAGAGCCTATTTTACGTGCTGTGGCAGCCCTCTACCATCGTGCAGATGGCCCTAATGCCTCTCCCCAGCCCAGCCAGGCGGGCAGCAGCAATAGCAGCAACAGTGACAGTGGCATTGGCTTCAGGGATGAAGGTAGGTGAAATGACGCATGTTCCAGTATTTTTTTCTTTACATGCATGGGACGACAAGGTATGGAGTACACAGCTACTTGTGCACTTTGAGAAGAAATTGAGAAGTATAGGCATTTAGCGTGTGATTGAAATTATGCATGAGAATAATGTGTGTGTGTTCTTTAATACCTGATAGCATGTTAGCATAATGAAACTGAAATTTTCCAGAAATTTTATCGGTATTTATACCTCTAGCAGCCTTGGGAACTTGCTAAAAGAGCTTGTATATGTGAACATACAGCTGCAGCTAATCACATCATTGAGCTGAATCATTGAGTGGTTGAGCTGAATGGCAAAAGATGTGGATATATATTAAATGTTTGTCTTTGTCATCACATGATTGCCCAATGACATATCTCTGGAGCATCATGTACTTTTGAACCTCAATAAAATGATGTGTGTTTATCTGCAGCATATATAAAACAGTTTCTCTACTGCTGCAAAGGTAGGCTGACGCAGTAAATTGAGACTTATGCTTGTGTCAGTAGTAAAATGGTTAAGCTACACATGGTTGTTGTGAATGCCTATTTAGAATTGCATGCATCGCAGTACTGCCAGAGCGGAGCAGCTTCTTTTCCGGCACTGGCTGAGTGGGCAAGTTTTCAGGGTGTTTTCTGTGCCTTGCTACTGCCTGGCAGTTGAGAAGGAGAGCACATAGGTACCTAAACACATTGTATTATTGGTATTGCATCATCTTTACAGCAATGTAGTCCTGTATGAAATCTTGTGCATCCCTTGCTTCAAAGCTCAATTTGGTGTTTTTGTGGTTGTCCTGTGGCCTTTGCAAGAGACAAGTATCTGTAGAGGGGATAGTACCTGACGCAGCAGGCTTGCAAATAATCACGAGGCTGCCATTGTCAACACTGGATTTTGTGGCATTGCTGTGGGAATGTTATTTGTGCCGTAACTGTGTTCTGAAACTTGCCATTTTAAGTAAGTGCTTATCTATGCATCGACAATTGTGAGCATGTGTTTTTGTCTAAGGTAGTACTTCTGAAAGTTTACAAGTTCAAGGCAGCTTACTTGCTTTCATATATGACCTTGCTCATTGCTACTACTACTGCTTCTCATGTATCGATTGCTTATTGTTTTGTATGCTAGAAATGATTGCTTCGTGTTTATTTTTTGTATCATATGTATGCCCGCCCTGTAATGACCTCCTTGTGAGATCGGCAGTATTGTTAAATAATAAATAATAATAATATAAGGCTGAGGAAACTGCAATGAACTAGTATGTGTCTGTGCACACGTAGCGTTATTTTCCTGTGTATAAGTTGCACCTTTGTATAAGACACACTTCTACTTTTTACGACTTTTGCTGAAAAAAATTTATATGTAAGACACACCTCTGTATAAGATACACTTGTTTTTAACTCTGTCAACACAATAAAACATGACACATGCAGAGTACGTTCATCGCAAAATGTGTAGTCGTGCACAGCGTTGAATATCTGTAAGGAGCAGTATAAAATTTGAAACGCTGCCCTAAAGTGCTGAAAACCAATATTTATTTTATTGCATTTGAAGCCTCATCCTGTGGCGCACTGTCAAAAGTTCTGTCGCATCGGTTGGCAGCATTGCCGAGTTGCTGTTGTGAAAATGGATTCATTTACTCTTTAGGAAGCCCTTTTAAAGAACTATGCTTTTCGATTGTGTACATATAAGGGTAGGCATAGTGTTTTTGTCTTAATAAGGGTAGAAATGGGTGAACTTGTGAAATGGGGCCAGCTCGTATAAAAACTAGATGTTGCTGGTACAGTACAGATATAGTGCACAAAAATGTATGCAATGTGTCTCTGTATCTATGGTTACACATTACTGTGTGACATTGAGTGAAAATATACGAAAGAAAGCTCAGAGTCTTTATGCTCATGTGCAGCAAGGGAAATCAAGGGTAGGTGCTTTAAGGGTGCAGGGGGAGGTTGAATACTTGAGAACTGGGGAGGGTGTCTGTTGAGGAGGGAAATCTGAGGTGAATGTGGCTGCCATCTAAGAGAGAGATATGATGCAGGAGTTTTGTGCTTCTCCTTTTTTATATCCCCTTGAGGCGCGAATTAGGATGCACTGTCTATGAATGTACGATATTAACGTACCATAATGTCAAGACACTCAATAATTACATTACAAAGAATAAAAGTAAGTAATGTGCTGTTTTGTGCAAGTTTCTGTAATTGTAATTAGATGAATTGGAATAATATTCTGCAGTTAGTCATATTCTATTTTGACATGGAAAGAATGAAATCATAGGCTCTTAATGTGTGCATAATTAGTTTTGGGTTGCATTCATGTGGCAAAACAAAAAGTTATGCTTTTTGCATTGGTATGGAACACAGCACAAACCTTGACATCTAGTGCCTTCAACGAAGTTTTCGGCTACAGTCATATGCAGAACACTGACTTTAAGTCGAGAAAAATTGACTATGCAGGGGATTAAGTGCATTATTTGAGCAATGTAACTTGCTCTCCTTTGGGCACAAGTTGACACAACTAGCATAAAAAAGTTACATACACAAATGTTGCCACGGCCGCCGAAGGGGATATGCAGTAATTTGTTTTATCTGCATCGGTTACATTGAATCTATCGACAATGTTTAGATTGTGTATAGATCTTTCAGTTCATCTTGAAAGTATTGTATTTAAGCTGAAGTTGTTTCATAATTTTCCCATTGTGTGCCCTTCTCATCATGACCACTTTGCGAATATTTGTACATTGCATCCTGCCTTGTTTGGCAAGACATCTGCTCATCTCCCTTTCCCGATTTGGGAACAGGTAATGCAAGCGACCGTGTGCTTGTGGTGGACGTGGAAGGCCAGCCACGCTTCCAAAGCTTCAGCTTGGACAGGCAGGGAGCATTACCTGCGTGCCCAGACACTGAGCGGTTGCGGGCAAGGGCCATGCCAGATCCTGCTGGAGTCGGTAGCGAGGCTCCCCTCGTCTTGCCAGATTGGGTGGACAGCAGCCCACTTGGAGGCTCCTTGCTGGATGACACACTCACAGCTGCAGACCATTGTCCTGATGGAGAGAGTGTTGACCTCCAGTCATCTACAAAAGGAGAAGATGGTAGTTCCTCAGCTACCCCACGAAGGGTGTGTAGTGCCATATGAATATATATTGCACCATATCTGCTATTTGCATGTAGAAAAGTCCAGATGAAAGGATGCCTAAGTTAGCTGCACAAGAGCAAGCCTTTTAAACGTACATGACTGATGAAGCACTTATACTTGCGGACAACTTTTTTTTTTTTTTGGCAACCAAAACGGGCGTGTGCCACTGCTGAAAAATATAGTCCCACAATGGTGACAGTGTTTTCCGCTTTAGCAATCGCAAAAACATTATACTTCATTTTCTATAGGATGCTGTTTATAAATAGGCACAGCACAACCAAGGAGATATTCATATTTGTTTACTTTATGCAGTGTCACTTCGCATTTTTGCACGTGTTAAATTCCCCCACATTTTACGCGCTCCTCACAATCAAAATGGCGTCTGTGTCTTCAGGTGAACGCTCGTCGCCCTGCAGTATTTCCGATGACTTACCGCTGAAGCTTGGGATGAATTTCACTCTGAAATGACTGTCTAAGCAAGCGAAGCAAACATATGCATTGTTGTTATTTGAACACTGCTGTCGTTCAAAATGCAAGCCAAACTGGACTACTTTGCAAAGAAGTACATGTGTAGTACCTCCGCCTCTGTAGCTCTTCCTTCATTGCTAAGAAAAGTGGTCCACGAGTACAGAAGTGTGAGTATTTTCTGGTCTGTGAAACTGTTAACAGAATTCTGAACAGCCAAATATGTCAGTCGATATTGTTCTGCTGCTTAAAATATCAGGGAAATGTGGCCACATATGCACACACATAAAAGACTGCATGTGCAGCTTTGATATAATGTGCTTCAAGTTGCCGATGAATTCGCCCTTGCGCCGGCAAGTTGCTAGCTTCCTGTTTGGCTCAATTGGAAGTGTGACCACTCAGGAAAGGCGTTCGTCCTTGGTTCGAGCCCCGGACAAAGAGGAATTTTTTTGGCAACTAAGAAACTTTCTTATGAAAAAAATCTCTATGAACTTCCTTGTGGCTTGTTACTAATGGTTTGTTGTTAATTTCTCTTTCTTGCAGCTTTAACAATTTAGCTGTCTAGCTTTGCTTGTGCCATGGTTTGATGCTAGAAATCAACACATGAAATGAGTAGGCCTTACTAACTCTGGCTTCAAGAAGGTACTGTCCACATATCGAAGGGTAACATCTGCCTTTCTGCTTGCCTTCGCTTAACCGGAATAAAACAGCTTCAAAGGACGCTAACTTAATTTTTCAAACTTCGGGGCGACAAAGGCAGTAATAAGACACAAAAAGTGTTGTTAAGGAGGCAGCCTTGTTATGGGAAAAAATTGCAACGAAGTTGGCTCCTTAAAACTGGCATTGGTGAAATCTCTAATCCTCTTGAACTGACCTGGAAAGTTTATTGCTTAATGGGCCAATATTATATTGCCACAAAGTCATGGCGTATTCAGTTGGGCGTTTTCGAGTGCTCTAGAGTGCTCTGAAAAGCGGCTGCGCCTTGGGTAATAGAATTCGAGCACTTGTACTACCTTCGGTTGGTTCTTCAAGAGCGTCAGTCTCTGACTCGGAGCGCTCCCGACCGCTCTGACTTCGAAGTGAGAGCGTGGCACGATCTGACCGGGAGGACGGATCACGTGACAAAAGCCAGCCAATCATGTGGCTATAGGCAGGTGAATGTGGCGAGGTGTGCAAGCGTGCATTTCGGAAAATGGTATCGGCGAGTGTGTAATACTTCTTGCACGTGCATTGGTAATGGCATTTTTGTGCTTGTGTGGGGCGAATTCACATCTGCGGAGCCATAAGTGCACTATGTCAATAACGAGGCGGCTAGCGAAGGCGGACGAAACGTCAATAATGCTGCCGTTACAGCACCTCGCAGTCAGCCTCGTGACTTGCCTTGAAGATAGCAGCTCGGACGAGGACGACAGCAGGATTTATGTGCTGAGCTCAGAAGGCTTTCACTACATCCAGACATGTCAGCGATGAAAATAAAGAATATAACAAAGGCCAGATATGTCCACTAAAGTGATCGCCACTATTTTTGACGCTGCGCAGCCATGTTTACCCAACAGCTTCTTGTGCTGGCTGCTCGGTGGCGCTACAGGCACGCTGCTTTAGCGCTCTGAGATCGCCGATGTATTCGGTTGGTATGCTGCCTCTTGGGCTCCGATTGCGAGCTGCCTCTGCATCTGACCACTCTGAGCCAGAGGACCAGAGCGGCCAACCGAATACGCCATCAATTTGTCTGATTTACTTCCGAATTGAATGAGAGATTCAGTATGCACTAAAACAGAGGTTTTTAAACAATGTGGAGATGACTCTCCTCTGTCACATTCTCATACAGTGATCAGCACTTTGTTGCTGTCACTCTCTTAAAAGAAGATAAAATTTCTTGATAGTCTTTTAAAACTATTTCAGCAATGCTTATGCACAGAGACGGCTTGCCTGAAAATTTTTTTGCAGTTATCTTTTTGAGAGATAAATATAAAAATTACTTGGACGTTCAAAGTAAACTGTTGAAAGTCAGTACTCGCTTGTTTCGTGCTGGAAAACACTCGCTCATCATCATAAACTAACAAACTCTCGCCATATTTCTGCTCGAGAACTGAAGGACGCTACCTGTCTAATGTAGGAGGTACCCTAGCAGCTACATTAATGTTGTGAACTTTTGTGCATCATTGGAAGTAAAAGGAATCATGCTATCCATAGTGTTTTCTAAACAATGTTATAGCAAACAATTTCTACGTCTGGACTAGTGCTCAGCATCCTTGCAAAACCTTTGACCGCAACTGCAAAGTCCTCGAAAGCCCTCGAATTCGCATCTTTGAAACCTGAACTAACCCTTTACTTGTTTCGTTTTTATTCTGCTGCATCTTTTTTTATTAAATTTGGTGCTGTGTCCTATTTGTATATCACGTGTTTAACCATGTGCCATTGGAAACAAGCATTGCACCTGCTAATGAGTCTAGTATAGGCTCTGGGAAGGAGGAAAGTTTTATATATTATGATCACCTTTGGGACTGAACCAGGTGAAAATTAGTGTTTGCAAGAGGGTGGATCTCAAGCATTGTTGTCGCACAGTTTAGTTTTTCTGTAAACTCGAGGTTCCCAAGATACTAATTAGAGCAGTTGAGGTTGCTTCACCATTTGACGTTCCTCTTGACTAACCCTATGATTTCGATAACTGCAAACTTGAAAATACAATCCATGCATTGTCCTTACTACTGTTGACACAAGAGAGAGATTTGGACTAGCTGTTCTGTCAGATGAAAAAATTTGCGTTTTTTTATAGGAATGTGTAGGTAGATATTAGTCATGCAAAGGAGAAACATTTTGTCGTAATGAGCTGAACCATACGGCAGAAAGTTTGGTTCCCAGCTAATGTCAACTGGTTAGATAATTTGTTTCCTTTTGAATTTTGCTTGCATATGTTAATCTTTTTGTGCTAAAAATCCTTCTCAAATATTTATCATCAGCTACATTTGATAGTCTTCTAAAAGTTCCGCTGCATTTGCATGTTGTTGAAAATCTGCCCCCCCCCCCCTTTTTTTTTAATTCTTGTGCAACCTTCAGGAAAATATTCCATTGCAGCATGATGTTTTCGATGGCAACACACTCTTCCTGAAATATTATCATTAAATAAACTGGTATGCAGTAAAGAGTTTACATGTCTCTGGCAACAGTTTCAGGAGTGTGTATAATAAGGTCCCTATATTTTTAAGGCACGATGCTGAAAAATTGCCAAAAAGTTGGTAATTTGTAAACCACATATTCATGTAGTATGTCCCATAAACTATCTATTCTGTAAATATCAATGTCTAATTTATTGTAAAAGTTCATCAAATAAATTATATAACATGCGTCAACAGCTGGCGAGCGCCGAGCACACGCTGAAAATACCCCAACTTCGCATGCTAGCTATTTCGGAACCACGCAGCCTAGCACCGCCGTCTTGGTATTTTTTTGCTCGGGAATTCTAGTGCTTTTTTCTTTTTTTTTTTTTTTTGCCGCCCACGGCAGCAGCGGCGTGGCCGAAGCGGGAATCTTTTATGATCGGGGGGCTCGAAGAAGGTTTAAAGTCTTTTGTGGCTCGGATGCGAAGCCGCGATTGGAGGGAGCGTGCACCTCTCAAGGGAGTGGGGAATCACGTGGCTCTTATTGGCATCTGTTCACCGGGTATTCGCCCGCTTGTCTGCTCCGGCGCTTGCAATGCTGGCATTCTTTGTGTGTCCCATTTGCCATTATCGCGATCGGTTCTCATGTGTGCTCTTCAATCTTTCACCGTATCTATAAGACGATTTTTCGCCATGTTCATGGGACTCTGATTGTTGTGCTGTAGGTAACGATGGGCACAACAAAGTTCGGGACTCTGCACGCATTCGGTTCAAGAAAGGGTCAGATGAAACTCGTACACATGGCGAGGTTCCAGCACGCGCCATCTCGCAGAAACAGTTGCATTGATGCTCAGTAGCTTCTGCTTCGCCTCTTCATTGCAACGACTACATCGACGCTTATCGCGATGTTGTGATTGCTACACCATCAGCGCAAGACTGCGTCATCACAAGTGAGGCTGGCATTGGTGTTTTGTGCTCAAGTGCACCAGATGTATCGCCCTCACTAACTGCAGTGATTACGGCCTTGAAAAGTGCGACCGCGTCGTCAGCTGTGCATTTGCAGGCACGTTTTTAGACCTCCGAAGAGTCAGCTGTTTAGAATAGCGAGCATGTTGCTACGCAACAAAAGCTAGGTGCTATGCCGGCAACCGACAGGCTGCGGAGAAAGACTGTCTCCGCCTGAAAAAAGGCTAAAAAATACATGCAACACAAGCAGGAAAAGTAGCAAAGGAAAAGCACTCCAAAGGACACATCTAGCTACCTTGCAGGGTCATTTTAGACCAAAATATGTGTTTGAAACTTTTGAAGTCCGTTTTCTCAGAATGACTTTTTTGGCCAGTGAGGCTGTTTAGTTGGATGATATCTCTGGAACCGTTCATCTGATTTCTATCAGGTTTGTTTTATTATGTTCCTTAGTAA